AGTAGCCAGGAGGTTAAGACTTCTCATGCAATAGGGCTCAAAACCTGGCAAGTACCAATGTTTCTTTTTCCGAGTTATATGTACTTTCTAAGATTATTTAGACACCACTACTGTACACTACCTATTGTAAAAATAAAAATGATGAAAAAATTAAACAAATAATAATTTATTTTCTTAAACAGTATATTAAATACGAACACTCTTTTTTACGTCAAAATTATACAAAAAATGTAGATGAAGCCAGATGAAAAATCTAGATGAAGAACATTTATACATTGTATTATTATTTTTTATTTAATAGGTCGGCAAACGAGCAGACGGATTACCTGATGGTAAGCAATCAGCGCCGCCCATGGACACTCGCAATGGAGGAGTTACGAGTGCATTGCCGACCTTTTAGGGATTAGGGATTTTGAGATTTAGGGATTTAGGAGGGATTGGGGGAGGGGAAGGATTGGGCCTCCGGTATTTAATAGATATGTAGTACTTAATTATTATAATACATAGTTGGCTCAGTCAGGCAAACGTTGGAAATTGAAGTCAAGCATCAAGCAAAGAATCAGTTCAAAACGAAAGTATTAATTTGCAAAATAAATAAAATATCGTGTAAGCATCACACCGTTTAGATTTTACATAAAAATCCAGTATATAAGGGAGAGAGACGGGACCTCTTAGAGACAAGAGATTTATGGACGGCAAGGTCACTTGAATAATGTCTCGTAAATGTTAATTACGAACATTGGGGATACATTCATTAATTCGACTTAAGGACCCTTCATGGCCCCACTATGTTAACTTATAGGACTGCAGAGAAAATTATGACCTTCCTATGGTTAAGCATTTGCTAGCCGAACTCACAATAAGGTCTTGATTAAGATGACTGAAGTTTTTAAATTATAAATAAATGTCGTTGTGGCTTGGTGGAGGTACCCGTTCTTCTTGCTCGAGGGTTCAGGTTCAAAATTTGAGACTTTTACCGGGTTATAAGTACTCATTTATGTACATGCTTTCTAAGATTATTTTGTTACTATTTAGTTTGGGTAATGGAAAACTACATAAACAGACACAAATTATCAATTCTGTTTATTTTTATAAATTTGCAAACCGCCTTGAGCGGTCGTCAATATTCGATCCTTTTTTTGTACTCAAAATACTTTTTTTTGAACATGCAGTAAAACGTTTACACGTGTAAACGCTTAAGATCTTTAGTATATTATCAGTTCAGCAAGGCCGTAGTCTCATTACAAGTAGATAATATTACATAATTTGCGCACGAAAATAACTTACGAAATAGGTCTTATAAAATATCCAATCAGAGCTATTAATTAATGCCTTTATTTAGGTAATTCGTTTGAAACGAGTTTCAGCGACTAAATACAAATCCTTCATTTCACTTAGTTTGTAATGATTGCGTACAAATAAATGCCTGAAAGTCCTTATATACAGCGTTATATTACAAGAGCTCTCCCGTTTAATTTCTCAACACTTAATTATTTCAATATTTGCAGCAGAAGTAATTAATACGTTTGCTGTTATTACGTAATTATCGCTCATGTTCCAAATATGGAGTAATTATATTATTGCTTTTTATATTTTTTTCGTGTTTTATGAATATTGAGTTCATATGGCTTTGTTATGTATATTTTTTTGTTCACAAGCTGTCTGTTTTTTATTTATGTACTACGTGTTTTCACTCGTCACTTTTTTTGGTTATTGTATTTGATAATGTTACAGATTATTATTCAAGATATTATTCAAGGGTCAAGTTTTTATTATTTCCACTTTATGAGATGATAAATTTCTGTTTAATTTGCTAAATTATATATTTCATATCACAAAGTGATATATGAATAATGTACTAAACTTTGTTTGTGCCTTAACTTTTATGATCTTCATTAGTGTAGAAGTCACTTTTACGCTAACCTTGGAGTCATTATGTTCATGAAACTACAAATTTAATTGTGAATAAAGAAACAAGCAATCGATGCTCAGGTCGTTAATATTAAATAGCTTTTCCAGCACCGCTTTGCAATTCGTTTAAATGGACGAACGATCATAGATAAATATAGTTTGAATGGATACCGATAAATTCGGTTTCACGGCGGAGGTTTATTCGTTTACGTAAACTTTGAGATTGGCTCTAACAAGGCTGGGAGAGGCGGAGAGAACGCCGGTGATTTCTACTCTTAAAATCCAATTTAAATGCATTCCTCTGTGCCACAGGAGGGCCCGCCGATACGCCCCGGGGGCCAATTAACTTATTCATCCTTAACATTTCATTGCTCAACTTGGATACTACTTTTACGCTTTAGGTACTTTCCACGTCTCATCCTTATGGGCACGGTATGATTACCTGCCGTTAACTCCAGCTCTTAGATTTGCATAACATAAATACTTGGAAGTGCTACGCCGTCGTCTTTTTGAGAAAAGATTGCCTGGGGTTGCGGGGTGACACCAGAATAGTTTAAAATGTATTCTCTATTTGGGTTCGAGTCTTTTAGCTTCACCTTTAGACTGCCTCGCATGTATAGTTAGTAAATGTAAGATTATTGTTGGAATATATAGTTTTGAAAATGAACGTTGATACAAACCAATAACAAGTCATCAACAAATATGAAAGGTCTCCAAAGTGTCCACTCGAAGTCTCGAAAAGTCATTTAAAATGCAATTTGAGCAGCCTAATAGAAACGTTCTCACTAAGAATTGTTGCAAAGTGTAATGGGTTCAGGTGAAATTAACGCAGAAAAATAGGAAAAGTTAGAACGAGTTTCCCGCCAAGGTTTTTTGCCTTCGCCAAGTAGCGCTGTGATTGTAAACCGGTGAATTTATAATGCTATTTTCGAACTCCACTTCATCGAGAAGTTTTAAACCGGTTCATAATTTTACTTGGGAGTACGTAACGTTTAGTATTCGAAGGTAAATTCAATGAGTGCGAGTTGAGCAATAAAAGCGATTTATTTGCGTACATTGGGGGCGTTTGATAATGAGTTTGATATAGTGGTGCGAGCGGAACAGAACACGAACACATTCAGGGAACACTTTGCTCTGTGAGCGGCGTGCCTAATGTGACGTATGGCTTCCTGCACTGGTGAATTTTCCAAATGACTGTTTCCGTGTCTGCGCCGTTGGAAAGGGTTGGAAATGATTTATCTTTCAGGAAAAATCACGGCCACAATTTTATTAATGCAACATTTACGTATGGTACTGCGAAAAGCGAATACTGAGGTCACATTAATTAAATTTTATATTTAATATCAACTATTAAGTAAACGTGTTATAAAAACAACACTAATCTGTAACAAAATTAGACAAAGCGTATCGACCTTAACTTTATCTAACAGGAAAAAAATAAGGAAGACATCAACACAACCCTTTAAAAATGTGTTTGCAATTGAATTATGGATAAAAATAAAACGTTGCTTTCAGAAATTTCGGACCCTATTTATTTGAAAAGGATGAGATGACTCAAGCAGATTCGTGCGATAGCCGCGCGCCCTCTGTGGATTACTTTGCAAGTCTTTTATACGAGAGGCCAGTATCATCACTACTTAAGGATATTAAAATCCCCTATTTGTGTAAGGAGCTTGTTTTCTCGCTGACTGTGGACCGTTTATCGAATAATCCTGATAAAGATGAGTGAATTGAGCGTGTACAATACTGACATGGAATAGGGAAACCAGGACATGGTCAGGGAGTTGGACAAAATCGTTTATAACGTACTCTAGAACTTTCGGGAATTTATTTTGGTTATCACTAGATAGTATGGTCACGTAGACTCCATCTAAAGGTAAAAGGTGTATCTAGGATGTATCCTGTATCTCTTATAGGAAAATTGGTGATCTGCCTCAGACAGACCTAACATAATCCCTCACTTTGTATGAACGTTACCAAAGCATAAGCCCTTTTTTTGAGGAGTGACAATGATCAAATGACTTCTCTTGCCTAGGGTATGGTGAGAGGGAATGTCAGACTCCTACTGACTAAAAATCACCATTCCTTCTCCTGCTGTAGGCCGAGGCGGTACCTTATTGCGCTGGACACGAAACATCGGCCCTGTTGGGTCCATCTGTAGTGGTCTATTGGGTCTTTTAGGGGCGCGCGGAACGCTACGCCCACGCTTGGGTAAAGCATGTACATATGCTTCTTATTCTAGAATGCATTTAAATATGTTTAAATGTATATAAATGAAGATAATTTTTAAGATATATCCCATTTATTTTCAAATTATTTTGGTCTCTTACGTCGGACGTCGGAGCTAATTCTAAGCATTATTTTCCCTAACAACACATTCTTTACTTACTATTTCTAAGAAACACCCAGTAATCTCCAGTTAATATGAACTTTATTTTATATAACAATTGATTAATTAAAGTTCTTGTTGAAAAGGAACGTGTAATGTTATTATTTAGATAAGAGACTTCTACGAATACATTAGATAACTACAATTTGTAAATATTTATATAGATAGCTGAGTACAAGTGTATTTAACTTGATGACGTGGATTCGAAAGGCTTTTGAAGATGAATTGAGTACCTATTTATTTAAGTGTGCGAGAGCCATGGGTTGGCTCGATCGGAGTGATACCACGGCCTCACAGAAAACTGGCGTGAAACAACCACAGCGTTGTGTTTCGCCGTACCCTTCCCTGATTCCTAAGTCTACAAATCCCAAAAGTTCGCCAACGCACTCGTAACTCCTCTGTTGTTGTCGGTGTCCATGAGCGGCGCTGATTGCTTACCATCAGGTAATCCGTCCACTCGTTTGTCGACCTATCACATAAAAAAAATAAGAATAATTCACACTAGACACCTTATGAGGGTAAGAAGTTGGCAATGAACTATTTTGTTTTTCTTAAAAATATATCCAAATATATATAAAAATGTAGCCAAAGGTCTCATTTGCGCGTTGACCTTATAAATAACAACATTATATTGATAACGTGGACACAAAAATATATATAATGCGAAGATACTGCAGTATCTTACTGTGTATTTGAAATACTGAGATCGTATAGATTGGTTTCTGAGGGCAACATTTTGCAATATCAGTGTTATTTATTTGACCCTATTGATATGGACCTAGGAGTTAAGTAAATTTAACCTAAATTTGATAATTATTGTGATGCCTAGAGAATTCAGTTCATGCAAATCTTTGGTACAGCAAGAAAGTGTATCAGTGTGCAATATTAGTTCGAAAAAAGTTTGATTTTTCAAATACAATTTTGAATTTGGTAAGTACTGTTTAATATTACAACTGTATAATATTAAAGAGCGGAGCCTTCAATTACAGATGCTAATAAGGACTCCTCGACAGGCAATGTCAGCCATATGATGATATTAAATAAACTTATATTAATATTTACTTCTTACTATTTATTTGTTTTTAATTTCGAAAGATTTTTTAATCTAAGAATAATTTCTACCACAAAACATTTTTCGTCTTAATTAGTACATAGAGAGTAGCCTCCGTTATCGAAAGTTGTGTTACCAATAAGTTAATTATAAATTAATTAGGTCATTTATTATATAATGATTGTATGCTCACGTGTACTGTATTTATTTATGATGTATTTTTTAAGTTAACCTCTCGAATACAATCACAGTAAGCATGTTCTCATAAATAATTGTGCCGATTGTTCACAATTTTGTAAAATAGATAATTATTTTATACAAAACCTTTTTGTTGTTATAACAAATTTCGGAATTGTACCCGACAATATCAGACTATTACTCGACTTGTAACTTGATGTACTTCATAGATACCCTTGGACCTTCGAAAATTTAAAAACACGGTACCTATTATTAACATTTTTTATTTATTATCTTACAGAGACATCACCAAAATGAATAAAGTTGTAATCTTCCTGCTAGTAACATTAGCAGTTCTGGCGCTAACAGAAGCCAGATCTTGGTAAGTCTGTACACAAACACTGAACATTTTACCTTAGCAAAAGTTTTTCTACCGACCGCTAATCTGGAACGCCAGACTCGATTCCTAAGGCGTCTAATTCCCACTGCGAGCAAAGTGTAATTGCGTTTTTACGTGTTGTTCCCCATTTTAAGATTGGAATTGGGATTGCACTCGATAAATGGCGACTATCACCGTTTTTAAAAGCTTTAACGAGTTAAATTTATTATTATCTTTTCTCGTTATTAAAGATCTGGTGAAATGTAGCTCGCAAGCTATCGCTTTAATCTATGATGTAGTTTTCATATCAATATGTGAGACTAGTGTATTATTTATTTATATAGGAAACCCAACAGCTATTTAAATTGAATTAACATCAGAAAGCCAATCAGGTTTTCATAAATAACAATTAAAATAATATTATAACAATCAATGGAGTACTTAAAAACAAAACAAAAATTGTATGATCATTGATTCAAAGAACAGTCAGAATAGTAACAATAAGTATACGATACTAAAACACTTGATGCCTTCAGAAAAAAACGTTAGTCGTATTTTATACCGAGCTATATTATCTATATTTCATTGTGAACGAGAAAGTTAGACTGTCCAATCGATATGCATATTAAAGTGTCTGCTTGGACAAATGACGATATAACCACTATGCTCTTTGGCTTGGACACACTACTACAGAATATTGAAATACATACGAAAACGTAATAGCAGGTTAGAAAACATATGCTAGAAAAGAGTTAAACCACACTATAATAATGTACTAATTAGTATGATTATAACTAATTTATTCGATTTGATTTTTACAAATATAAATTATATTTAGAATCGAATAGTTGACTATAATTCTACTATAATGTAAATAAGTTCATAACGAGTAATAAGTTCATAATATATGTATTTATTATAATATTTTGTTTCTTTCTTGTTTCAGTGGTTCCCGTTCACGGTGTGACCAATGTTGTGTAAGTAATTATGCGCAGGGGCATAATAATATTATCATTTTCCTTATACAATTTAAGCGTTGACGATATAACTTATCGACGCTATGCCATGTATTGTTTTACTAATTAGCATTTATATCATTCGTTTTGATTCCTCCATTTTAAATTAAAATTGATTAATAGTCGAGTAAATAGCTGGTGGGGTAGGGGATAAAATAGGATTGTAATAGAGTTTCTACTAAAAGCTTATCTCAACGTAATAGAGATGAAAATTTGCGATAAATTCAAGTGATGTGTTCATTTGTTTCAGCTGACCGTTAGACTTTTATGCTTAATTAAACACTAAAATTATGTTACAGTGCAATTGATAGTAATATTACAGTAGAACTTGACCCGAAAACATTAGCATATTGCTTTTTCGGTTTAGATAAACTGGACAAAAATCAAGAGCACTAGTCTAAAAAGGAAATTTTACAAGAGAACTTGCCTATTAATCTTCATAACCTTGAGCATATGAGCCATTAGCCAAATGACGCAAAATAATATTTAGACCAGATCACGGGTGAAGGATGCAGTATATCAGTAGTTTAGAATTTGTGCCAATTGTGTTTTTGTAACCCACTAAACATCTGGTGTGGTGTCATGTTTACATAACCATTTAATTAATTTGTGTATCAAATGTCTTCTCTATTTTTAATGAGTGGTCAGTGTTTTATTTTTGGAAATTACGAATAAAAAAACTATATGCGATAAGAAAATAAAGAGATATGCAGCTAGAATTGAAAATCATTAAATATGTTTAAATAATCTGCCAGTTTGTCAGTCCATGTGCAGTGTCTCGAAGATTAGGAAGGCGCTTGCTTCATTCATGAGGGCGTAGGTTCAAAACCCTGCAAGTACCAATGCAACTTTTCAGAGTCATAATTCCCGTCGACATACGTTGAAGAACTTCCAATTTAAAATTATACAAGTTTGCAATCACCTATTAGTAATTAATTTTGTGGTGATTCTTGCTAATTCTTTCTCCATGTGAAGAATGTTGTCTATGTGTTAGGAACATGTGTGCTGATATTAAAAAAATGGCTTGTACTGACTTACGTTGAACAACTTACAATTTCAAATTCTAAATTTGAAATCACCTTACAGCATTAATATTGTAGTGATTAATACTAATGTTTTCTCCATTTGCCTTGACTTTGTGCTGGTGAAGTGATGTTGATATTGTTTGTATAAAAAAAATTGACTTGTAAATGCACCTATGACCTACCTTCCGATGTTTCTTCTCCTGTTCTGAGCCGAGGCTGCATTATATTTATTGCACTTGCAAGCGCAATCTTGACTGCACTTTATTTCTTGTATTTTTTTTTGTTTGTATGCACGTTTGTTTTTCTGTAGTTACTCAAGTTATTCTAATTTTTTTTACAGAAAAGCAGATGTGGCAGAAGAGGCTCCAGTTCAGATTCATCATCATCCTCTGATTCTTCATCATCTTCGTCTTCTTCATCATCATCATCATCATCCTCCGAAGAGGATGACAGAGGATGCGCATGCTGTGGATGTTGTGATGGCGTAAGTAACATTACATCAGAGATTTGAACCAAACAGATACATGTTTTTGGTTAGAAAATGAAATTGCAAATATTCGACCAACGGAACGACAAAAAAAAAGTCTGCGGCGTTTAATGGACTTATTGCTTTCATGTTTTTATTTTAAGCAAAAAAGGCAGTGGTACCTACTTTGGTCATTTTCGGCCTTATTACAAAACAAGGTTTTACTTTAGTCTAGGACTAAACCATTGAGCCAGTTTTTGTATTTCGAATTGAAGGTAGATGACAATAAGATTCAAAATTCAAAACCCAACTCAATGGTTTAAACCTGGAGTAAAGATAAATCTTGTTTTGTAATAAGGAGGATTATGTTTAACAGATATAAGTCTTAGTGAAATAGGTGAAGTTTTAACATATATGAGGTAAATATTTTGTTAAGCACTGCTGAAACGGATTATGAATCATTCACAAACAAGTTATTTACACTAACAAATGTCTTAAAGTATCTTATTGGTGTTTGGTTACTATCTCGCCTGTTGGTTGGTCGCCAGCAGTAATGCGACCTAATGTGGAGCAAGCCTAATCATAAGCCATCCAGGCTTTATTCTTTAAGGAACGCAGAGTCATGCTATAAACATACATAATTAGTGGTTCTTATTAAAAAACTAAATACTAAAAACTTATTAATTTTGACTACTTATTAACCCCATTATGTTTATTTTCCCAGTCTGTAATAAAAAAAAACTTATAGAAAAACCAAGTGTTTGTTTATACAGAATATTATTCATTAAGGGATTGCCCTGTTCTAGAAATTACCTGGGTAATAGGTATCGTCCTGTCTGACGTAATTAAGATGTTTACTTCAATACAACAGCGAAACACCTAATTAATGAACTAATTGTTCGTATGGCAGCGAAGTTTTTCCTATGAAATATATTTAGTGTTTTTTTGCTATAAAACGTTGTCCCACACTTGGACTTTCTCCTGTGTCGTGGATACGTTTACAAACATACAAATTCACATACACAAACCACCCAGACAAGAAATAACGATCTATGGATCACACAGTGTGTTGTTCCGTGCGGGAATCGGACCCGCGATACGTTGCACTGCAGCTAATTGGCCAGCTACAGCTCCAACCGTGCAGTCAGTTAGAGGGACTTTAAAAATATATGTATATTTAAGAGACAAAAATGCAAATTGGCAACACCAGACTCAATTATCCAAACTTGAATATGAAACTACAAGTTATTTATTTACTAGAGCCCTCTAGTCTCCAGAGAAATCAGAAATAGTCGTTTGTAAAAGTGAGAGAATGCGATTAGTCACAACCATTAAAATGAGAATAATAAAAATTATAGCCTGCTCATAAAACATACAATTTGCATACATTTGTCAGTCCAATTTAGTCACATATATGAGCTACACTACAACGATGTTAATATTTATGCGAATTATAATGTTGTAAATAATTCTATAAAATTGTGGGCGAACCATGTTTTGGCACGAAAGGGCCGGCTTGACCGGAGTGATACTAAGGTCTTATAGAATACCAGCGTGACTCAATGCTACCGTTGTGTTTGCTCGGCTGCCACCAAATACGATAGATACATACTAAGGTTTTTAAAATAGTATTTAGTGTTCATTATATGAGAAGGATCACAGTTTATCAAATGCTTAAAAAAATTAAGTTGTTCAAATCTAGCTTACACAAAAATATTTTTAGTGTCACACATATAGTTTACGTATTTCTGACGTAACTTGACTAATTTCAAGTCAACCAGGGTTCATAGTCATGCGTAGTATGACTTAGCAGGCGCTGAGGCTAGTCGAGTTGTGTTTTAAACAGTTACGCGAGGAAGCCGTTAAGCATAAAATTCATTGCATATGTTTTTTTTTAAACGTTGGCCCACATTAGTAATTTGTCCTGTGTCGTGGGTGCGTTTACAAACATACAATTTCACATGCACATCACACCCAGACCCAGAACAACAATCTGTGGATCACACAAAGAGTTCTTCTGTGCGGGAATCGAACCCGCGACACGTTGCGTGGCAGCCAATTGCCCAGCCACCGCGCCAACCGTGCCGACAAATATATATGTACATATATCTATATGTTTTACTTAAGTCATAAGAATACATTCAAGGAATGCTTTTGGTAGTTTTTTCATTTGGATAAATTGCTAATGTTAGCATGACGAAGATTAGTAGATAATATCTGAATCATACTTTATCCATTATATCGGCACACAATGGACACTTCAATAAGATGCTCGTGAATAGCAGGATCGGGGCCCTCGTATACATATAAATATATGACTATAGTCATAGGTACTTGAATGGTACATTTAATTTGATATGAGAATAATCGACTCACAAAAAAGATTTAGTGAGTGCGTTGAATTTACGAAGTGCGCAACTATGAGTAATTTTTTGTTCGAATCAGGATCTAAACTGGAACACTGTACTTATTTCCCTAACAGTGAAGAAACTACAAAAGGATTAGTGACAAAAAATTAAGTGGTCCAAGTTCAAAATGCTCATAATTAAGCAGTGTATCTATGATGGCTGCATGGTTGGCGTAGTGGCTGGGGAACTGGCTGCTGTGTGACGTCAAATTCCTGCATGGAACAATACTTTGTGTGATTCACAAATAGAATTTTGAATTTGTTTATTTGTAAATGCGCCAACGACGCAGGAAAAGAAATACGGCCAAAACGTTACCTTTTTAAATAAAATAAAAAAATACTTAATCTATTTCAAATTAATTTATCAAACTTCAAGCAAACGCACAGCTATTGTTCTTCCATTGTGTTAAGTTCATGTCTATTTTATTGTCTTCCAGGGAAGAAAGAAACACAAGGACTCATCATCTTCCTCGTCTTCTTCATCATCGTCTTCATCGTCGTCATCGTCATCATCATCGTCTTCTGAGGAAGATGAACCACAATGGTCTTACAACTGCATTTATGAGGTTAGTATAAGTCAAGGTCAACGTCATTTGCCATCAAAAACGCTTTTGCTCGCAAATCGATTTATGGACAAACTGATAATGATTATTTTGAATTGGTTATAAATTATAAATGTGTTTTTTTAATAAGGTACATTTTCGTTAACTGTTCTTTGGTAGTTCCACTTCCAAAATAGTGTTTTTAGGACTACCAACCAAAAGAGTTGGGATAGGCATGAGAAAATGGCACTGACAGACACAAAAATATATAAGTACTTATATTTTATGACTACAGTTGTTTCTTCTCGAAAGTGACTTTCTAATAAATTATGTATGCATGTATACAGCCACTCTTTGTATGTATGCTATTTAGTATTGGTTGTGGATGCTAGGACTGGGTCCCCTAATTCTTAACCCTAATTTTTAAGACTTTAAGCACTAAATAAATAGTAAAATTATAAATCTATGTACATAATATATGTACGCAAGTATTGGGAGCGAATGTTTATGACTGGGTTTGGAAGGATTTTAATCCTTAAGACTTTAAGAGCATGCTTGGTTATTGTTTGAATGTTCTTCGTCGATATGCATGTCACCTATTCCATTAGGGGGTTCTGTTGCTACACTTTCGAAGGTGTAAATCGTAATATTGGACACATTCTCCGTTCCAGGTTCAACCTACTGATACCATTTTACGTCGAGTGACTTCTTGCCGTCGTCAACAACCCCCTAGAGGTGATATGAATTTGTAGATTTTTGGGGCATTTTGTTTCTCAAAGGAATGATTAATAGAGAACAAATTGGTTGTGCTTGAAAAAATACTAGTGTAAGAGTGATAAAGATGAAAAAACTTTAAGTGGTGATGTATAAGATGAACGATTTTATGTTAGAAGGGAGACAAAGGAAAAAGCGCGTATGATAATGTTAGTGATGATCTTTGATAGGGAAAAATAAAATAAAAACAACATATGTTTCTATATAACTCGAGTTAATTAATGTTTAATCAAGTTAAATATCGTACAAATGCAAATATTTTTTACATTAGTATTTTTTCTTAATTATTATGCGGTTAGTAAGTATTTATACACTGTCTGCCATATACTTGATATTCAATTACATAAGACTAATAGTATACCTGGTAGTTTTCTACATAGTCAGATCACATCATTCATTAGCCTATAAGTGACACCTTCTGTGGAAAGGCCTCTTTCCTCATGGAGAAGGTTTGAGAAATTATTACCACATTTATAAAGGTGGATTGGAGTATTTTGTAAGCCTATAAGTAGAAAGTTTATGTACAGATCTGTCGTGTTTAAATCAATTTTAGAAAGTACTCATGAAAAGTACTCTGAACTTGCATCTACTGAAGCATAACTTCAGATCGCTTCTAAACGCCTTACCTAAACCTACGGGGTACTAGAGAATATTGATATTAAATTGTATTATGTAATATTTTTTACAGCCAAAGAAGTCGAAACATTTCAAGACCCCATGTGGTGGACCAAAAAGCTAAAGTTCGTCCAACAAATAGCAACAGTCGGTCAGACAGTCGTTAGTAGTATCAAGAAGTAGAGGATCCAGCGTGAAATCAATTGTTATGTTAATGCTAAACTGTGATTAGCTGCCGCACTCAGAGGCATTTAATGAATACTTAGAATATAGTAACGATTCTGTTTTTTTAATTTATAGAAAACTAGCGGTCGATTTTACACTTTTTCATATATTTTTTTAATTTTCTCTACGTTCAGGCCGTTTCTGGACTTTCAAAGACCAAAATTAGCCGAATCGATAAAAGCATTGTTGAGTTATAATATTACAACGAAAAGTGGCATTGATTTTTATACTTTTTTGAATTTATAGATGGAAACGACTTACTCACGTGAATTAACTGACAAAGCTCCACTAGTTGTAAGTCACAACGGGACTCTTATTCATGAGCCTCAATTGTGACTATTAATTAATTGTAAAATAAAAAAAATAGTTTTGTTGTAAAAACGATTCGTAGATGGTATGTATTAAGAATTGGATTAAAAAAGTTAAATGATTCTGAGTGTGGCGGTGAATGTTTAAAATGTGTGCAATAAAAATGATTTCCAATTTTGTTTATGTTCACTTATTTTTAAAATGTATTTATTAAGTACTTGACCGATTTGAACAAATATTTCACTGCTGAGAAGTTACACTATCGCCGTTGAACATAGGCTACCTAGATACTACGCGAGTGGAACCGCGAGGCATAGCTAGTCATTTATTAAAATTCAAGCCTTAAAGGCACAGAAGAAACAGTACAGCTGGGAAAAGCCCAGTCATCAAACACCACCAAAATCTTACTATGGCAATGGGGCCTATGTATGAGCTGCTATAGTTGATTAATAGTAAAGTAATATATGTGACAAAAAGGCATAAATGCATAGCTTAGCCAGTTGAATAATGTCAATGTACAAGCCTGTCAGTCTGCTAGCTGAATATTTCTGATAGAAGTTTGACTTCAGAGTGGGTCACAGTTCCAACCTAACCTACCATAAATATCATAGTTTAAGTGACAATCCTCCAAAAAATCGGCCATTACATTAAACGGCTAGTAATTTGGCTTGGTTTGGTTGAGACAAATATATATTAATACATACATGATACCACGGCCTCACAGAAAGCCGGCTTGAAACAACCTCGGCATTGTGTTTCACCGTGTTAGTGAGGTTATCGGAGGTCCAATCCCTCTCCCTCCCCCATCCCTTCCCAATCCTTAAATATCCCAAACCCTTATCCCCGAAAGGTCGACAACGCTCTCATAATTTCTTCAGTGTTGCGGGCGTCCATGGGTGGACGCCGATTGCTTACCATCAGGTAGTCGCACTGCTCCATTGTCGTCCAATCAAATAAAAAAAATTATACGAGAAACAAGTTATATGAGGTATAGAAACAAGTACTTACAAGATTCATAAAGAGTCGTGTTATTTATACAAAATGTTTACATATCATGTTAACATTTAATTATACTTATTTGTATCCACTAATGAGTAAACAACAGGTTTGTTATATTCTAAAGTTGTACCTATTTAGATGTCCATTAATTTAGCCAAGGTTGCGGGGCAAGCGCTATAAGGTACCGCGGCTTCGGCCTGAAGAGGAGGATTGGGGATCAAAAAACGTGCTAATTTTGCATCAAAATCCATTCAGTAGATTTTATTTCAAATATCCATCCATCCATCCAAACTTTCACGTACTTATAATATTAGTAGGACTTCGAACATTTTGTGTGTTTAAAAAAATATTTCATGTAACCTAATGAATATTAATTAAATATTTTAAACTGCATTCTATTGTGTTTTACTATACGACATCATCATCATCATCATCATCAGTTTATAAATGCCCACTGCTGAGCAAAGGCCTCTTCTCAAACGGAGAAGGTTTGAGCATTAATCACTTCGCTTGCTCAATGCGGGTTGGTAATTTCAAACTTATAATTAGAAATTATAAATCCAGGTTTCTTCACGATGTTTACCTTTATCGTATGTCAGTGGTGTCTAAATGACTATAGAATGTACATATAACTTGGAAAAAGTCACATGTTCGAACCCATGCATGAGAAGCCGGCGCTTTAACCTCGAACCTTACTATACGAAATAGTGATAGGCTATATTATTTTGCTGTTGGCTTTTACTCCTACAATTCGTGTTAATATAAACATGTGGTGTTTAATTAAAATATCATAGCCGGAGGTGGGTATTTTAATCACGAAATGCCTCCACGTGAGGCCAATGCGTGGCATTTTTCACTCTAAAGCGTCAGCAATGCCGTCAAAGGATATGACAGGTCCTTTTATTCTGTTCGATATTGTAGCTGGTACAAACCAGCCTTTGTTAACTACCAGCTTTGTTTTGTATTACAGATGAGTACCTGGTAATATTTTGGAAATATTTTCACATTGTGGGTCTGCTTAAATGACTTTTCAGCGTCATTATTTGGTGACAGTGTCCTTCTGGTTGCCCAGAGGTTAAGGCGTCCACTTGTCATGCATGAGGGTTTGAAACATGGCAAGTACTTATGTAAGTAGTAGTATTTTCGAAGTTATATCTACTGTCTATGATAATTTAGACACCATTGACATACGGTGAAGGCAACCTGGACTTATAATTTATAAGTTTCAAATCGCCAATCCTCCGTGAGCATGCGTGGTAATAAACCTTTTACTATATAACGTACCGCGGTACCCTTTTCTGCATGAAACAGTTATACAGTACTTGTGTCATGATCTCCAAATTATTGTGCCGGGTTTGAGTGTAATGAGTTTGTAGAATTATAGGTTTGCACGCAAGCCACAGAAGAAAACCGTAGTGTGCGGCAAATATTTTTATATACCTATATAATATATTAATTATTTTTTTATTAACTTTATGTTTGCTGTGTTTAGGCGGGCCTGATCGCTTACCACCATGTGGTGCATCCGGTTATATAACCTATACTTATTTCACTTCCATTTCTTAAAAAATAATAATATAATGGGGTATATGTTTCGGGGGGTGTGAAATAAGGTTCGACACACGATCAACAGTGAAATATATATATTGTGACACTTTATACAGGTAAACTAATACTAAAACAACAATTACTCAAAGTTCGCGGCACAAATACAAGGGCGCGTGCGTCACGGTCGCCGGCGCGGGGACTCACTCCCGTTTCGCGCCTACGCAAGCGTCGAGCGGTCAGTGGCGGGGTAGTGGAAAAGGGGTGTGGCGTTGCCTATAACGCCACGCGCATGCGTCCGACACAAACCGTTTAGGATGCCGCGTTACAATAATTAAATAAGTTTAACTTAAAATCGTTAAAAACGAGTACATAATGGGTGAGTAACTCAACCGGTTTCTAGAAACAGGTCCTATATAAATAAAGCAGCTAATAAGCAAGAGTACCCTAACAATAATTATCTTATAACCAGTCCTGCGAAGAAAATAATCAATTAAAGCATTAATGAACTCAGAATCCAGTCCTTGAGTACAACAAAGTAACTTGTTTGAAACCAAAGCAAAGGCTACAAATTTAATTCAAATGGTCAGTTTCCCAACAAAAAATAGGTCTATCTTGTTCCGAAACGAAACGAATGAAATCGCTGAAGCGGATTTGTATTGCGGGAGCGGCTAACGAGGATTTCAGCATGATGAACTATGAGAGCCCTTTATCCAACCAGCGTAATCATCAATTAGGTTGTTATTACTTACTGGATTAGTGAGTTGCTGTTTGTTTTAGTTTGAAGTTTTAACAACTTGTTGTGAAGCTGCTTTTGTTGTTATATTCAGTTTTGTATCTATAGATACAACTTTGTATTTATCTACATATTGATAGGGTTGGCTTTATTTTTTCAATAATCGTGTGTGTGAGTGTCTGGACTATTGAGTTTGAGGTTTTTTGAGCTGAAAAAATACACTGAACTCCCCTTAATGGGCAGACGTATTGAAATCAAATAATGCTTGTTATTGGCAAAAAGTATAAACTTTTAAATTACTACTTTTCTAGAATAACAGACGTCATTTCACGTGATGTTTTGTAACAAGTAGCCAATTAATTGTGCCAGAGTGTAATTCTAGAAAGTTTCTAAACACGAGTCAAACATCATGATTGACCTTTAAATTGACTGTGATCCGTTCTGGCAGTAAAATACTGTAGGCATGCATTTTTGTTAGTCAATTGGCAATAGACACAATGATAGGAGTCAATTGATGTAATGGGATCAAATGGTCAGTTTATAGTGGAGGGTACTTCGTGCTATGAAGTGTATTGATTAAAAACTCAGTGGCACTTCATATTCTTTATCTGAGTCTAGTTCTAGACAGACGTTACCAGAAAACAGTGATGGATAATTTAGTTTTGATAATAGTGCTATTATACTGCTTCGGTTTTTCAAGCCACGGTCTAGTTTTACAAAAACCTTTAGAGGACTCGAACCCACAAGCAAATTTCTATGAAGTTGACATAACAAATGAATCTGATCAACGTGCCAGTTTAGATTATCTGAAGAACTCCGAAGGTAATACTGAACTTGCTCTCGTTGTGCTAGTACCAAAGGACAGTCAAGATTATAAAGTTGTACTTGAGAAGAACGAGCATTACGATAAATACGTCATTGTAAAAACAAAGCCAAAATTACTTGACCTCGAACCATACTCGCAACATCATGTTGATAAACATAAGGCTAACAAACAAATGGTAATGTGGCTAAATTTATATTGTGATATGCATCCAGATTGTGACAAGAATAAGTTAAATGAGGAACTAAGGAAGGTACGACCATATCTAGAGTTTTAAAGTGCAGGAAGAACATAATAAAAATAAATAATAATGATGATCTAAATATTTCCGTTAAGGAAAAGTACACAAGGTAATTTGCAAGACTTGTCATGACAATATAAAGAGACTCTTAATACATCTTAAATTTGCGTGAAAGAAATTACAGCAACAAGCAATCCAATGGATCTAATCAGTGGTTCAAGACTAGGAATGACCTACATTTCGATAAATTGAACAAGATCAGTTCACAACACTTGTGGTCGTGGTAGACCGTGTGTCTTGTGTAAGTTTTACTTATAAAAAAACGATTTGTGTTGACTGTTAATTTAGATCGCTGTGGCTAGTGAATTAGTGTGCTTAAATATTCATAAGATAGAAATAGTTAAAGTGTTACACTGTAGTATATTATTGATTTAATATTTAGGTGATGTATCCAAAAATAAGTCAAATATTATAAACAAATAATTAATTCGTGATAAATTAACATCTGACTAGTGGATGTTATCGTATTTGTGTAGCTGGCTGGTAAATGCTGGCTGATAAACGCACAGCGGGGACCGATATGTTTTAGTATTGTAAAATGACTTCTCTGTCGACACGTTTAATTGTGTTTAGTATTTTAATCAGCTTCCTAGTTTGTGCCGCTAGCACATCATTCACTGGGCAGTTCCTCCTCGATATATTTGGAAATCCAGTAAAAGATTTTCAAAACACTTTCATAAAAGAAAAGGAGGTGCCGAAAACTAGTAGTGTACGAGAAGACCCATCCCGTCAGAAAAAAGATGACAATTCGCAGCCTAAAATGATAGACGTGCCTCCTAACGCGCAAAGGTGTGATGCTGGCTCATACATGGACGTAAACGGAGTGTGCAGACAACCATGGTGACTGATCGCACTAACTATATATAGTAGCAACGTAGTTTGCTCAATACAATACGTTAACATGGACGCGAAATATGTGTTGTTTCTCATAGTGATGGTGTTGGGCTTGTGTATCCGTACTGATGCACGAGTTATGTTTAATATTGAAGAAAAGCTACGAATGGCGACCACGACCGAGGCTGAGAACTTGACTAAACATTCTCAAATAATTCGAGTACCAGAACTGGAATGCCCGCTTGGACAGAGGCGTGATAGACTAGGCAACTGCAGGCAGAGATTTTGAGGTATTGTAATTTAGCTATTATGACGACTTTATCATAGCTGTGATTAGGTACTTAGTTATTAAACTACAAAGTTCCATTAAGATACGAGTACCGTGACCTGTGACATTATCTCGATTTCCAACGTAACTTACTAGAATGTGAAAAAGTTATTACTTAATAGTTTTAATGACATGGTAATAAAAAAATATCATAGAAAATAAGCATTATAATTAAAATGTCAGAAAGTTTGGTTGTATTTTTATTTCAAATTTAACTTTCAGGTGGTGCTTTGAAAATGGAAGAAAACATGTTTAGTATTATATTAAGGAAGATATTTTGACGCATTAGCTCATTGGTATTATTGTAATCAATTCTTGGAGTATGTTGTAAGATAATTTTTATTAGGTCAAATAAGTTATCTTATAAGCCGAAGCCATTCTCTATACTTCAGTCCACTGTAAATAATCACAAGACGTGACACGAACAGAGTCATTTAACAAAATGAAATTAACAATCGCCATTTTATTTTGTGCAGTTTTAAGTTTACCATATAGTGCTAATGGAATCCCGAAGAATTTACTTGATAACTATCGTCAAAAGGTGCAGGATACAATTAACAATATTAATCAGGACGTGAATTCTTTTTTTCATCCTAACGAAAACAAAAAGGTTCAGCAGAACAACGATGCAGCCTCAAGCATTTTCTTTGTTGAGGATGAGTCTGAGGAAGATTTTGCAGCAGCAGCAGCAGCTCGGAGGCCAGCTACTGTAGAAGTGACTACAGCAGCTACTACATCTACAACTACTAGTACAGTTAAGCCTGTAGAAACTACTACTAATAATGGAACTGATAGGGGACGAGAAAATTTCGCGGGTGGATGTACACCTGGCTATCAGCGCACAGCCGACGGAAGATGTAAACCCACCTTTGGATAACACTGTTTCTATAAAAGCTTCACATGGTTATTCGATGAAATTAATATCTTTATTTATACTACTACAACTTTTTTTGAGTTTAATAATAATATTTAAAAGTGATTTAAAATGAAAATATGCATTTAGAAGTATATATGTACCTACTCAACTTGTTCTAGTAAATTTGTTTTTATGTGATACGTAAAAGTGTTATGGTTTTGTTATATCCATTAATTAGAAATTTTGAAATTATGTAAAGAATAACAATGCATTAAAGTGTTTGCTTTTCCAATTGGTTTAAATTATTTGTTTCATTTTAATAGCGAGTTGGTTGGGATAGTACCAGTATATCTACAATGTAACGTTGTTGAAGTAAACGAAAACTTTAAGTGAATGTGTATACTTACCAGTGTTTATAACAAGTTTATTTAATGAAATAGATTTGATTGTTAGTGCCATAAGGAGGATAAAGAAAAGGTACATAAGCAAAATGATCTATCTTTATAGAATTTTGAAATATATTTTTTTAAGCTGAGAGTTTTAAAATTTCTGGTCTTAACAAAATTGAATTAAATTGTAAAATCAATAAATACAAAAGTAACTATAATATTAATATGGCAGTCGATCTGTAGATTGATACTTGAAATGTTTACTTATTTCCTTCAGTCTCTTTCTCTCATTAGATTTTCATTGAAGTTAGTGGCCGTCATTGCTGAAACCACACGTGAAATAGTAAACTGGGTAAAATTTGTTAATCATTCTTCAGGAGTTACAGCTACTGCTTGAAATATTGGGTAGGCTGAACCAGAACTAATTGATGGTTTTCCAGTAGTATCGCCATTATAACGGTCACCTAGATATTCTTGAAGAACGGCAACAATTTGATCCTTGTTTGCATTCTGTTGTGGTTTATTTGTGACTTGATTTTGATAACCTTCTGTAACAACATTGTTGTTTGGTGAACCATCATATCCAGGTGCAGGGCCTTGTTCGTAATACTGGTTTTGCGGGGGTCCCTTGTTTGGTGGTCCTCTGTTTGGAGGAGGTCCTCTGTTCGGAGGAGGTCCTCGATTTGGAGGTGGGCCCCTGTTAGCTGGTGGTCCTCTATTTGCAGGTGGGCCCATAGGCGACCGCTTCTCTGTAAATAACACAAAAAACATTAATGCCAATCATAAGTACCATTCTTCAAACGTCATGTACGTAAGATGTAGTATATTAATCATAGAGGAGCAAAAAACTCGACAAGGATTGACATGGATGGGTTGCTTTGATAAAAACAGTACCATGTTTGCTTTTTTGTATTTTATTATTAGTACGCGTACGTTTACTATGCATGTATTATTAATGTTCTTCATATTGAGTTGTAGAACGTGACTAAATTCAATAGGAGGAATCAAACAGCAATAACATTCAATCAATATATTTTTATATAAAATTCTAACAATTATAGGAAACCGAGTTAACAATCACCAGTTAACTAGATACAATTGTATTTATTAGTGTAAATAATACTTTGAGGAATACAAGAACATGCAAAAATAGAATCACTCGGCTGGAGTAACAGCAGCGGCTTGAAATAGACGAGAAAGAATAGGTTGGGTGGTGACAGCTCCTCTTTTAGGATTCCTGACTTTCTTTATCGTTTCATCCGCTGGTATTTTCTCATCATCAGCAAATCTTACATCGATTTGGTACTGATCGTCGTCATCTGGAGCAACAGTGGTAGTCGTGGTAGTGGAAGTAGTATAATCATTTTGGTAGTTTTCATTTTCTTTTTCATTAGGTTGTCCACCATCATCCGGAGGGGGTGGTGGTCTTGGATGGTTTGACCATGGATCATTATAGGGTGGTGGTCCGCCATGGTGAGGGGGTGGTCTTCTATCAAATCTGTCTGGCGGTCCACCGTGGTGTGGAGGCCTATGATCAAACCTGTCCGGTGGGCCACCGTGGTTCGGTGGTCTACCATCAAAACGGCCAGGAGGACCGCCATGGTGTGGTGGTCTACCATCAAAGCGATCAGGCGGTCCGTGATGTGGAGGTGGTCTGCCATAAGGTCTGTCAGGAGGTCCACCACGATACGGCGGTGGTTCATACCGATGTGGTCGATCATTTGGTGATTGTCTTGTCTGTCTGTCATCATAAATTCTTCTAACATCGTTTAGAGGAGGAGGTCTGTTATAATAATCGTCATGATAGGAATTATATTGATCATAGTAGTCAGGAGGTGGTGGAGGATGGTGATGGTGTGGGGGAGGGGGATAACCATAAGGAGGGGGTGGGTGATGGTGATGGGGTGGCGGGGGAGGCGGTGGTGGATGGTGGTGGTCCGGTGGTGGTGGCGGCGGAGGTTCTCTGTCTTCGACCAAATTCTGCCCATTATTATAACGGAAATACTGATTGTTAGAAGCTTGTGGTGTTTTCTCATCTCCATCCTTCAGTTTGTATACTGCGAAATTGGAATTTTGTGTGACCAGTTCTAGTTTTGAGTCTGGTGCTGATTGGAACTTATACATAGATTGGAGATTATTCAAATCGTTAACTGGTTGTAGACGAGTAGTCTCCTTATTTTGTAAATTTACTTTCGATGGATCTAAGTCTGCGGCATCGATGTAGACTATTTCAACCGTGTCCAAAGCTTGTCGTCTTGGTCTAAGAGCGTTGATATTTTCAAACTTGTCAGTCACATCTTGCGTCGCTGACTGCTTTTCTGAAAGATAAGCGTGTCAAAGACTATCACTTTCTTGCATTACAAGCCACTTTTTGTGTAAGTTATCATGTTAGTAACAAAAATTATAGGCGTTGCTAGGGACCGGTTATTAGTAGATCGAATGTTATTTTTTAATGTAACTGCACTGGTACATGATCAAAATGAAAAGTTTGATAACAAAACAATAACACGATAGACTTTTTTATCTGTAAAACAGACTACCAAGCAGAGATCACATATGAAACCACGTGACGAAGGTAGTTTATTTTAATCCCCGACCTAAATATCTCTGACATTGAGTGCACTGGTGGTTTGGAACCAGTTTTTTAGAAAAGTTTTAATTTTATATCAATTCCGTTACTTTTCACACTTCACGCTTCATTGTCGGATATATTGATGAATAATCTATTTTTGTTGCATGTATTTCATTCTTAATATTACTTTGGCTTTAATAAGTAGTATGTTATCTAAATGTAATGAATGCGTTGATTTAAACTTAAAATTGACTTATGTTACTTAACAATATAGTGATCAATATTTATAGTGCACAAATATACTTTTTTATGTACCTACTTCAATGAAACTTCTTTTTAATTACTTACATAAAACGACTGCGGTTATTGCCATGTACGTGTGAGCAATTTTAGAATACATACATTGAGAATAATCCGTTGATCTGTACTGTAAATGAATCACCTTATTCGTATCAGATACCTTTCGCTCAGGTCTCATGTTAGCATCCACTTGACCCAAAGTGGCAAGCCATTCAATATCATTACAATTTATTGCAACTCATTTCGCTATCGGGAAAGACCCGAGTCAAAAATTCTCGAACTGAATCTGTATAACCTTGTTTACAAATCTGTGGTATTATCATCTCGCAAATAACAATGTGTCAGTGACCTTTGCACGATTCGAAGAAACATAATCGTGGTACATTAGTGTTCAAAGCAAATATACTTTATTGACACCTCTGTTAATACTATTGAAGATATTAAGTACTCGTTTGTAACATAAATATTGATCTAATAAATGTACTGTGAAGGCAATCAAACTAATCAATATTGGCCTTCGTAAAATTGACATATTTCTGTGATCTTTTACACTGAACAATATTATTATTATACACAAGTACTGTAAATGTTCGTTAAACATAGTTTTGTTACGCTGTACCACAAGGTAAGTCGTAATTCCAAATTAATTTACGCGTTATTTTACCGTTCATCCTAATCGTACTACAAAACAGCATAACTACGTGTTAAAACAATTAATCATGCAATTACAAACGAACTAAGTAAACTACATAATGTTTAAAAATAGAAAGATGTTATACCAACCTCGGGTTACTGCTCCGGAGGCACATGTCACCAAAGTTAGCAGAGATGCAACACAAATGAATACAAGACACTTCATTTTGATAAATATCTTGAATATTATTATTTCCACACAGTATCAACGTCCATCTTCAATCAACAATTTCGCAGAAAATGAGTATGTGCCGGTAAACCTTGAAACCGGTTCGTTAAGCAGCTGTTACGGTCAATACAGGATCTGCCTCTCAGACGTCATTGTGATAGCAAAAACTTGTAATATGGAATATTGTTTTAATATAGATGTGGTCTTAGGGCTGTCAGTTTAGTAGGTAGGTCCGATTGTAAGTCGCGAAGTTGGTTATGTGTTTATCATCAATTTCTCGTAGATAAAGGTTAGCAGAGTTAATGTTTTAGCTAGTTATGTGAGAAATATTTAGAAATAACATTTGCTATGGGTATGAGAGACTATAAAATATTGTTTTACTATGTACCGAAAGGGTAAAGGGCATACAATATTTGATAAGAATTTTTTCGTCAATTATTTTATCAATCCTTTATATATATATAACCCTTATAGGGTTGAGCATATTATCATAGTGGCACAAAATCAAATCTCTTACTAAACGGGCATTTGGAAAATGGAGATTCCTAAATAATTTGATGTTTTTAGGTCGGGCTCTTTATGTTCAATTTGGTGCCAATATCTTGTGAGTCTCGTGTCTAGAGGTGAACCGTAGGATAATGCTTTCATTTTATTGAAATGTTGGAATAAAACTCGTAACTTATCTAATGTAGTTATTCTAACAAATGCATTCAATTATGATCAGACTCAATGACTTTGTGATGGCATGTTAGGGCAAGATACAGTGTTATTATTAGTTTTTGCTCAATACTGATGCAAAAAGGGTTAAATGATGAATTAGTTACTTGTTTGTGAAATCTAACAATGTTTTTTTGAGGTTTTGCCTTGGAAGCGTGACCGCCATGTTTTTCATTCTCAAAATTTGATTTTCTTAGAACAAACAAATACTAACTAAACTATTGTTTAAAGTTTTAAATTCTAGATCCGGATCAAAATTCCAGTAAGACTACAACAACTTGAAGATAAAACTGTTCATTAAGGAACATATTTAATAGCAAAAATAAAATATTCACGTGACATTTCTCATTACAAAAGTAAATATTTTTATAATTATGTATAACTACGTTTAAAAATATTTAATAATTAGATTCCGAAATCTATCAGTTTCATACACTTCTCGCAAAGTCGCAACCCTAATTATTCATTGTAGCTAGAAGGGGTCAATACTTTTAAAACCGAACCTTAATAACCGCAAATCGTCTTCATCTATAATTACAAAGTTGGGTATTTCACAGTCGTACACACATTTTTTGTTTTGCCAAAAATGTTCTGTATTACAATTATTATTTATCGACGAATAAGCAAAAGAGTAATGAGGTGATGGTCCAGAGGTTGAGGCGCCCGCTTTTCATATGGTGCCAGTTCGAAACCTGGTAAGTACCACTAACATACGAAGAAAAACATCGCGAATACGTGAAGAAAAACATTGCAAGGAGTAAGTAACTAAAGTTAAAGTTAAAATTATAAGTCCAGCCAATCCGCACTTAGCAAGCGTGGTCATTAGTGCTCAAACCCATCGATAAATATTTCGAGAATCGGCCTATGCTTAGCAATGGGCACATATAGGCTGATGTGTGTTGTGAAGTAGAAGAGTACTTTCAGTATATATTAAAGATTCTTTATCCTTCAAATCCAAAGGTAAAGACCAAGAAGTTATAAAAAATACCTTGATCAAATCATATTATGTCCTTGGGTATACCATTTATTACAAGTTCGTTTTAGCTTATTAATTCAAACGTAGGTATAATTTAAACTATGTTCTTGAAATACAACGTTAACAAATCATAATAGTTGAGAGGCTCTTCAGTTCAAAAACCATAATCCATAACAAACAAACTACTGATAGACAGGGTTAAATACTTATCAACCAAGCTTCGTACCCTTGAACATAAATGTGACAATCTCCAACAATTTCAGAAGCATCTTCCGTAAATAGCACTACCCGCACCGTCAGTGCTACTTAACTCAACAAAATCAAAATCAATGTTGGTTGTATAAAGTGAAATGTAAAAGCCACTTACCTAATACTGAAAGCGGCGACAATCTCATTCCGGGCGACAAATTGAGAACACCTCCTGCCTAGAGCCACAGGCCGCAGTCGTTGGTAAATAGCTATTTATTGTGGCACACAGCGAGACACCTGTCCTGCGTACGGCGACATGCCACTAAATGGAACACCCTGTACTGTTTGTTGTTAGAATTGTTTTATTCTTTTAGTAATTCGTTAATTCAATTCATTCCGTATTATTTTCTCTTTGCCTTGTAAATTGTTTTGTCGCTATCTGAATTATAATTTTTAATGAGGTAAGTGAGTAGTATTTATGTAATTTTGACTGCATTCAATAAAGTTTTTGAAAAAATACTTTTGTTAAGCGTAGTTACAGGGTAAAGTTAGGTATTAGTAAAATATTAAAAGTGTTAATACAATTAAAATTGAGATACAAAATGCCAGTAAAGCAAATCTGCTAATCACATCATTTTTACATTCCTTGAAAACTCAGTAAAGAAATATAATTAAGCCCAAATTTTAAAATAAATTTAGCTTAAATCGAGAATTCGCGGGACAGCATCCATTGTTCCCCTATTTCCTCTAACACGGGCGACCAAAACCCCATTCTAAACCTCACTGTCGCTTACCCTTGACACTGTAATAGCCCTCCGTGTTGGTACCGCGTACTACGCAGACATTAAAATTGTTTCTGCTTTTTGGATGAGTTTATTAACAAAATAATATTTGTATATATCATTGAAATATCGCCAGTCGCCTACCGGCCCCTACCGAGAGCGCACGCTTACCTGTTTGAAGTGAAATCCTAGTGTTGCCTACATTGTTTTATTTTATTATTTGCACCATGTTTACCTGTGCTAGTTGTGGTTTTCAACATGCGGAGGGCCCTGTGTGTAGTGTTTGCAAGCAACAATATGACTACCAGTGTTCCGGTGTCTCTGAGGCTGGATACCGAAGACTTGGTGACGCCAGGAAGAGTGCTTGGCGCTGCCCTAAATGTAAGTCTGGCTCTTCTCTTTCTCCCCTGGCATTATCACCACAGCCAACTAGCCAGCTCGATAGAATGCAGGAACAGCTCAACAAGATCACCACTGATCTGACTCCCTTGGCGACATTGGTTGCAGACGTTAAGTCCATAAAATCTGAGCTGACAGGTCTCAAGGATTCCATGGAAATGGCTCATGAGATAATAAATCGCTTCAGTGAAAAGGTTAATGCTGTCGAATCTAAAGTGACGAAGTTGGAAAACGCAGCTTCCCAGGTGACTGTCCTTCAGGCTCACATTGACAGAATAAGCCGTGATTTACAAGACAGAGACCAATGGGCTAGGGCCAACAATGCTGAGATCAAAGGCATCCCTCAGAAGAGTAATGAAAATCTGTACGATATCGCCCAGAAAATAGGCAGCCTGTGCAACGTGACCGTCAGAAAAGAAGACATCAACTATATAGCTCGTATTCCAACCCGTATCCCAAATGCAGTCAAGCCAATTATAGTTGCATTCAATAATCGGTACATGAAGGAGGAATTTGTATCTTCGTCGCGCAAGAGCAAGCAGCTTAATATTTCAAATTTGGGCTTCTCTTCATCAGCGAACTTCTACGTGAACGATCACTTAACCACAACCAACAAGTCGCTATTAAGTAAGGCTAGAACTCTGGCCAGGGATAATAACTTTAAATATGTTTGGGTAAAAAATTGTAAAATTCTTGCCAAGCAATCAGACACGACACAAACATTTTTTATAAAGTGCGAAAAGGATCTACAAAGAATCACAAATCGTCAACAGACATATTAGCTATAATACTTCTAAATATAGTTCATATAACAAGTTTGCGGAGTGCATTTAATTCTAAGTTATTTTCTATTCAACTTGTTTTTCAAACAAACCGTATGAGTCATTACAAACTAGTTTACCTGTGGCTATCCATGCAATTATCAATCGCTTGTGCATACACGCACGGCTACATAAAGATTATTCCCGCTTGGGTTGGCGCGTATTCGAGCAGCTTAGCTACCGAATGTTTTTTGCTACCGACCCTTTTTTTAATAAAATATTTTGAACGTAACTTTAAACAATATTTATTTGTATTTGCGTTATTCTTATCATGTTTTCTTATTGTTATGGTTTCTGTTTGCAATCATATGCTTATATTGTTTGGTAGGGAGTATATATATATTTTAATAAATTACTTCTATCGTACCCAGGGGATTGTAATAGTGAACTTACCAATATATTTTTATATTTTGTGTATCTCATTACTGTTAAGATATTTATTTTTGTATTTTGCTAAGTATACTTATGGCGTCACTTAAAGTCTACTATCAGAATGCGAGGGGGTTGCGAACTAAGACACATATGTTCAAACGAAATGTTTTCTTAAACTCCTATGACGTTATCGCGATTACTGAGACATGGTTAATAGATGGTATTAGCGACAGCGAGCTGTTTGGCGGTGGATACTCAACCTGGCGTCGAGATAGGGATTACATAAAGACTAGGCAATCCAAAGGCGGTGGTGTGCTATTGGCTATACGTTATGGATTATCAGCTGATGTTCGCTCTAATTGGATGTCTTCAGCTGAAGATCTCTGGGTTACCATTAAGTATAAGAGTAATGATCGAAATTACAATCAATTAAACCTTTGCGTCGTCTATCTTTGTCATGAACATCTAGGCAATTCATATGATTCGCAGTTGCGCAATTTAACTAACAGACTTTCTTCGATCATTAACGAAAATCCGGATGATAAATTTGTTTTAATGGGCGATTTTAATATGCCGAATGTTGAATGGTTAGGTGATAGTAACTGTCTTCAACCCTGTGGTATAGCAGGTGAATCACAAACGTATTTTTTTGATATCTTAGCTGAATGTAATTTAAATCAGTATAATCACTGTCGTAACATCTCCAAAGGGCGTCTCTTGGATTTGGTGTTTTCTAACACTGATTTATCTATAAAGGCTTGTGCATTTCCCTTAGTCCCAGAAGATGATCACCATAAATCTCTCGATATTGAGCTGAATTTACATCACGAAGTACCCTTGAAACAAAAACCTATTAGGAAGCGATATTTTGAGTCCG